ACCCGGCACCTGGCCACGTCTAAGCTTGTGTATTTACTTCTTTGCATTTTATGGGAAATTTCATGGTTCAAAAAAATCGGACTGGACCAGCCAATTCAATCGAGAACCGGCCAGTATTTCGGTCCGATTTGAGCTATGAAATCGTTGGGGTCCAACAGACATTGAGTTCATTTCTGCTGTGATGGTTTTGGGGATGAGAGGCAGCAGCTCATGGCCATCCTTGCTTCCTTGGGAGGTAAACAACTTACTATAGTAGGTAGTAATAGTGAGCTCAATCTCATCTTCCTTATCAGTCATAGTATTCTGCTAAGTTAACAGCCTCTGGATTGAGTTCATTTTCCTTCTTTGCAAGACATAGGCATGGAAAAACTTTGTGTTATTATCCCCTGATTTGAACCAGAGAGCTCTAGCCTTCTGCTGCCAAAATATTTCTTCAGAGGTATTGGCTGCATGAAGCTCCTGTTGAAGCTTTCCCCAAAGATCCCAGTTTCTATTGCTCCCAGCTGCCCTCAGCTCTTCTAATTGAAGAGTCAGGTTTCGAATTTGTGATGCACTGTTGGATTTGAAATATTTATTCCAGTTTAACAGGGCTTCTCTGGCCCTCCTGATCTTCTCCTGAAGTACAAACATGGGGGTTCCTTCTGCTTGTTTGCCCCAGGCAGACTGAATCACTTTGTTGATCCCCTCCCTTTCCAGCCACCTCTTATCAAATAGAAATCTTCTTTTAAGTTTGGGCTTTTCATCTCCAGTGTTAATGACCAACATGCAGTGATCAGAAGAGCTTCTAAACCAGCTGTAAACTCTTGAGTTGGGAAATCTAATTTGCCAGCCAAGAGAAGCAAACATTCTGTCTAGGGCCTCCTCTACAAAACCTTCCCCTGCTCTGTTGTTAGCCCAAGTGTACTTCATGCCTTTTAAGGGGATTTCCTGGACACCCATCTGAGCCAAGAAAGAGTTGAATCCCCACAAACTACCCACTGATCTGCTGATGCCTCCCTTCTTATCTCCAATGTGACAAACATCGTTCCAATCTCCAGCAATGAACCAGTCTGGACCCCATTTATCTTTCTCCTGTAATAAAAATTGCCACTGCTCCACTCTCTCAGCTTTGATGGTACTCAGGTAGACAAAGACAGCCCCACAAAAGGTATTTTGATTATTGTCCTTATATTGAACTGCAATGAAGAAGTGATCCCCATAACATTGAAAAATCTCCATATCAGAACTCCAAAGAAGCAAAACACCACCTTTAATACCAACAGGCTCAATGAGAAAATGCCTGTCAGAATATCCCAACTTAGAACAGGTTTGCAAAACAAATTTTTTGGATTTTTTTATTTCAGAAAGAAAAATAAAAGATGGGTGATGGAGCTGAATAGCTTCCTTGATCTGGGGAACTGTAGAGGGCCTACCCAGACCTCTACAGTTCCACACCAGAGCTCTAATTTAGAACTCGAGGGCTCTTTAAGGTTGGCCCTCAGCACCTTTTGTGTGTCCAACTTTGGTTTCTTCAACTCAGTCTCCTGTTGAGTATCCCCAGCAATAAGCTTCAGCTCTGAATCCTGAGGGTCTCTCCCCCTTTTGGCAGAAGTTTGTGAGATTGATGAAGTTTTGGTTTCCTTGCTTCTGGTCACCATGCCCTCAGGCTGGATATTTCTTTTCCAGGTTCTGCTCTTAACCGCAGATATCATAACTCTTTCAAAACTTTTATCATGTTTCTCTTTATCTAGTATATTCTGAAGCATTTCCAAATGATCTAGGTCAGTAGAAGAGACTAAGGGGGTGGCAGCCTCTTCGAGGTTCTCTATTCTGTTAATTATTGGCACATCATATAACACAATGTCTCTACTTTGATCAATTGTATTTGCAAGTTCCTTAGCCTTTTGACCCTGGGAAGACTCTTGTGATTGAAGAGACTCTTTAGCCTCGTTGTGGATAGAGCCTGAAGTGAAACGGGGAGAGTCTGAAAACTGATTTTCATTGGTGGTTCCCTGGTTAAAGGCCGTAGGTTGGGAGGAGGGAGACCCCCCATTCAGACCAAAAGATGAGTTGGAAGTGCCTCCATATTGACCCTGTAAACCTTCAGAGGCTCTCATCCATTCCCCGTACTGACCCTCCTTAAGTTTGCGTTGTTCTACATCTTGAATACGGAGCTCACATCCCTTTTCCAAGTGCCCCACTTTTCCGCAGTAAAAGCACATATTAACAAGTCTCTCATATTTGAATGTAACAGTGACAAGTTGATTACCCAGCCTAATGGTGGCACAACGAGGTAGGGCTTCCTTGAGATCAACAGTGATAAGAAGCTTCAGAAGACGTCCACCCTGACTTCCCAAGTTTCATACCAGGACATTTGATGTGGATTTGAATATTCTTCTTATTTTTGACCCCACATCCGAGGTAAGCCATATCAGAGGTACGTTGTTAACCTGCACCCATATCTTCAATTCATTAAACTATTCAACACTGCCCTTATAGCTAAGCAGATATGGAAACTTGTATCTGAACCCAACAGGCTTGTTAGTAAGGTGCTGAAGGCCAAATATTACCCCACAACCTCTTTGTTTGAAGCTCAGAAAAGATAAAACTCCTCTTGGCTATGGCATAGATGGTTCAATGTGTTGGAGTCCTGTGCTAAGTGGATGCAGATAGAAATCAAAAATGGTTGTAGCACACTCATCTGGGATAGGCATTGGATTCCTACAAAATGTGGACAGCAAGTGGAGCTGAACTCTGGCATAAGTAGGAGCTTGAAGTGGGTTAGAGATTTGATGAGTGATGATGGTCACAGCTGGGATCCTGCCAAAGTCAAAAGCTCCTTCCCTGAAGACTGGAGCACTGCTATTCTTTCCATTGATCCATCAAAAGAAGATGAGTGGATATGGAGGCTTCATAAGAAGGGACTTTTCTCAGTCAAATCCACTTATTCTTACCTTATCACACAAAAGTTCTTGAATCAATACAGACCCCAGAGTAGCCATGCCCCTGACCTTGATCTCAGAATCAGAAGAAAAAGCTGGCAGCTTAAAATAATGGGTAGAGTAAAACACTTTATTTGGCGATGTTGTAATGATGCCCTACCTGTAGGTACTCAACTGCAGCAAAGAGGACTTCAAGTTGATGTTATCTGCTCCCTTTGTGGTGATTGTGCAGAGTCCATTGTCCATGTTCTTTTCCATTGTAGCTTTGCCAAAGAGGTGTGGAAACATTCTCCGGTCAATTGGAATGGTCCCAATATCAAAGAAACCTTTAAATCATGGTGGTGGCAGATTCTCCAGATTGACCAAAGTGAAACTTCTGAAGCCCGTATCCAATTGACCACGTACATCCTTTGGTGGCTTTGGAAGTCTCGTAATCTGTGGCTATTTGAAAGCATCAGAAGACCAGCTCCT